AGTAAGTTTCCTGAGGCCTCCCCAGCCATGTGGAACTGTGAGTCAATTAAACCTCTTTCCTTTATAAATTACCCAGTCTCAGGTATTTCTTTATTGCAGTGTGAAAACAGACTAATACACTTGTTGAATATTTATGCTTGGCCAACCAAGCATGCATATAGTTCAGCATAAAGCCCTGCCTCATCCTTCCCTCCCTCAAAGTGTTTGCTTTTTGTTTTCAGTCAGAGGCTGCACTTCTCTCCTGCAGGTTGTCATCCCCTACTTAAGAAATAAAGTCCTCCTTTCTAAATGGATAAATTGTGTGTGTGTGTGTGTGTGTGTGTGTGTGTGTGTGTGTGTGTTTATGAGATGGAGTCTCACTCTGTCGCCCAGGCTGGAGTGCAGTGCTGCAATCTTGGCTCACTGCAACCTTTGCCTCCTGGATTCAAGTGATTCTCCTGCCTCAGCCTCCCAAGTAGCTGGGACTATAGGCACGTGCCACCACACCCAGCTAATTTTCTGTATTTTTAGCAGAGATGGGGTTTCACCATGTTAGCCAGGATGGTCTCGATCTCCTGACCTCATGATCCGCCAGCCTTGGCCTCCCAAAGTGCTAGGATTACAGGCGTGAGCCACCGTGCCTGGCCAAATTGTGTGATTTTTAAGTTGACACAATGAAGGTCCACTTCTGACTTTCCCCTTTTGCATAGGGTCCATTTGGCCCTGAGCTGTCGATTTCCAAGTATGAATGCTTCCTGCTTTGTCCCATCACTTTATGCCTGGAAAAAAGTGCAGGGGCAAGGGGAAGCTTTATAACATTCAGTTTATTTCCTTCTTCTGCTTCTTTGTATGAGAAAGAGCCAACTTTTGATCATTTTTTGTTCAGCTGTGATATTCTGCTGCATAAAGAAGATTGAACACTGAATACCACATTAATATGGTATTCCCAGATGACTTATTTGCAGAAACTGACCTGTTTATCCTAAAATTCATATGTAAATTCAAGGGACCCAGAGTCTAAAGCAATCTTGAAAAAGAAGAAAAAAGATGTAAGATTCATATTTTGTAATTTCAAAACTTACTACAAAGCAACAGTAATCCAGACAGTGTGGTATTTGCATAAGGCTAGACATTTAGAACAATAGAATAGAATTGAGAGTTCAGAAACAAAGCCATACACCTTGAGTTAACTGATTTTCACCAAGGGTGCCAAAACAATTTAATAGGGAAAAAATAGTCTTTCAACAAATTATGCTAGGTCAAGTGAATATCCATATGCAAAAGAAAGAAATTGTACCTCTATCTTATATCATACACAAAAATTAACTCAAAATGGATGAAAGATCTAAATAAATTAGGGGCTAACACTATAAAATGATCTAAAAGAAAACACAGGTGTAAATGTTTGTGCCCTTGGATCAGGTGGCTGTTTTTTCAGATGTGACGTAAGAAACCAAAGAAAAAATAGATCAACTGGCCATTACAAAATTCAAATATTTTGTGCAGCAAAGGACACCATCAAGAATGTTGAAAGTTAACCCACAGAATGGAAGGAAAATGTGCAAATTATATGTCTGGCTTGTGTCTAGAATATATAAACAATGATTACAACTCAATAATAAAAGACAAATAACAATTAAAAATGAGCAAAGGATCTGAAAAAAGTTTCTCCAAAGAAAATATACAAATGGCTAATAAGCACATGAAAATATGCTCAATATCATTAATTATAAGGTAAATGCAAATCAAAGCACAATGAGATGTCACGATACACTCACTAAGATGGATATAATTTTAAAAGGCATATAATAACAAGTGTTAGCAAGAATGTAGAGAAATTAGAACCCTCACACAGTACTGGGGGGAATGTAAAATGGTGTGGTCCCTTTGGAAAATAGTCTGGCAGCTCCTCAAATGTTTAAACATTAAGTTGACATATGGTCTAGCAATTACACCACTACAAATATATGTAAAATAAATAAAAATATATGTCCACAAAATTTGTACACAAATGTTCATAGCAGCTTTATACATAATAGTCAAAAATTGAAAAAATTCTAATACCAATTAACCAATGAATGGATAAACAAAATGTCATATATCCACACAATGACATATTATTCAGCAGTAAAAAAGAATGAAGTAATGACACATGCTACAATATGGATGAAGTTTGGAACCATTATGCTTAAGGAAAGAATGGAGACACAAAAGATCACATATAATATGATTCCATTTATATGAAATATCCAGGATAGGGAAATGTATAGAGAAAAAATGTAGATCAGTGGTTGCCTAGGGTTGGTGCTGATTGGGAGGTGGGGGATGACAGGAAATGAGAAGTTAAAGCTGCATGGTTCAATATTTTTGCGGGGGGTGAGGTAAATATTCTATAATTGATTGCCATGTTGGTTACTCAACTCTTTGAGTATATTTTAAAAACACTGTTATTTAGAATACTTTAAATGATGTAATTCATGAATTATATCATAATTTAGCAGTTAAAAAAATTCTAATTTCTAGAATCAGAAATCAAAGTCATGTTTAACAACTCACTATTATGAAGCCTTGATTTTGAAAGCTACCAATTTTAGAATTGAACCTACTCTGAAACTGTTCTTTATTACTTGTTGCATCTCCTTCAGCATGAAATGAAACCTTTAAAATTCAGTTGTAGAATCAAAAAAAATCAGTGAGGTTGTCCAACCTCTGTCTCACAGCACATCATTTAAATTTAGCCATCTGTTGTTGTTCTTCATCAGTCTCTCCTCTTTTTTTTAACAACTTCCTTTGTAATCACAAAGTTGAGGGTGGGGGGCAGGTAACCCTTTTCTTCATTCTCATTTATATCCCATCTTCTTCTAAGTTGGTTTCCAGTTTTCCATATTTCTCGAAAATTGATCTATATTTTTCCTCCTGTATGCTGCTATTGGCTGAATGTGTACACCCAAAACTCCTAGGTGGAATCTGTAATCCCCAATGTGATGGTATTTGGAGGTGGGGCCTTTGGCAGGTAATCAGGTTTAGATGGGGTCATTAGTATGGAGCCTCCATGATGGGATTAATGTCCTTATGGAAAACATAAGAAAAGACATCAGATCTCAGTCTGTCTCTTTGCATATGCATATATGCACCATGAAAAGGCCTTGTGAAGACATGACTAGGAAGAAGACCCTTACCATAAATCCAACAACCATGCTGGCACCCTGATGTCAGTCTTCCAGTTTCCAGACCACGAAAAATGTTTACTGGTTAAGCCTTCATCATTTTCAGATTCCTTTCTGTAAAGACATCTTAGGTATTTGCTATAGTTGTTTGTTTTACTCCATCTCAACTTTGCTCACTTAAAAATCACGCGTTCTTGGGTTGTAGGTTTAATTTCGGAAACTCTTTTTCCTTCTTTATCTTGCTCATCATGACCTTATCCAAAATTACAATATTCTCTTTAAGTTGCTTCCACCTATAAAGTTGTTTGCAGCTTAAGATCACACCTTGATTTATTGGGTGAATCAAGGTTGAAGTGTTTAGGGGAAAGAAAATGACTTTTATCTGACCATCCTCACTGGTTAGTGATTCATTGAAATGTAAGTCTGGGAATTATACAGCAGTCACAGTGCCCTGACTTCCTCTTCATTGAGTTATAAAATATTATGTTGAAAATGCCTGACTTGCGGAATATAGTTTTGAAAGAACCATTCTGAAGACAATGCTCTGGTGAACCAAACATTTTTACTAAGTTTATATATCATAGATAATGCACTGTGTCCTTTTACATACCTTTGGGGAGCTTCGATTTTGAATGATGATTGACTTTAACTTAGTGTCATCTGCATTTATATATAAAAAGTCAGACAGGTGCTTTTTATTTTCCTCCTGGACATGCAGACATCTCTTTGGCTTGTCTGAGTTGGTTTTCACACTGGCTTCCAAAATATGTCAGTTTCATCCCCATTGTAAAACTAAGCTACACCCAGTTTCTCCTGTTAGATTCACATTGGCAATTTTTCTCCAAATGGCTCAACTCTTGGTAAATACTGAAAACTTGGAGAATACAGACAACCCAAGATATTTGGCTTTTTAGAAAGATGATTCTGTAAATATGAAATACTTACTTTACCCAGAGAACTATGTTAAGCACTGCAGGAGATAAAGATGGAAGCAAGATTTCTGTCCTCCAGGGAAAGCATAATGTAGTAGAAAAATGACAGGATATGACAACAGGATACCTAAAGTCCTGGCTAAAATCTGCCACCGGTAATCTATGTGACCCTGAACATGAAGTAGTAGGTGAAGTCATGTCATACCATTTCAAATTATTTATATGTCAAAGAGAAGTATAAATGGGACCTATCTCAAAAGGTTAAAATCTACCTAACAAGAGTAAAACGAGATAACCGTTGGGGAGCATGTGTCTGATAACTAGAATATGGTTTTGAAAATATAGGGGGCTGTTGTTTCTGATCTAACAAGAGGCTTGACCAGGACCAAATTGCCTTTTATTCAAGGAGGCTTTTGATAAGTCTAGTGACTACAGCTGGAGCTCTCTCTGGCTGAGACTCAGGAAGGCCCAGTACACAGCTCTGCCCACAAGAGTGCTGGAGTGGTTCTGACTTTGTGAGCCACTCTTCTGTGGCCCCTAGACCTTTGCGGTGGCAACCCTTACTGGGTGAGGCTCCTAGTAGAATGGGCTGCCAGCCTCCGGGAAGCCAGCAGGAACAATCTGGATGCACAATACCTGGCAAATCAGGGATAGGAGACCTTGGCACCAGGAGTCTCTAAGCTACATGGCTCCCAGGGAAGAGCCATTTGAGGGGCTTCTCTAGGCTTCCAGCAGAGCTAGAGACCCGGTAGCATTAACTCTTTCTTGCACCCAGGACCTAACTGGAGCAGGAGGTTGGTTCTTCTAGGATGGAAAGCACCCCCAGGACAGTTCCTAACTTGGCTAGGCTGAGACTCCGCAGGTAGAGGGAGGGGGATGGCTGGGCGTAGCTGTCACAAAGCCACCGGAAATGCATCTTTCATTTTCTGGTTGATTCCGGTTCAGGTCCACAGACCTCGACCCTGGAAGAGTGAGTCGGAGTCAGATCTTCGAGAGGTGGAGGGATCGAATGAGGGAACTGATATTCCAAGACTCCCCAAATCTTGGAGCTTCACTCGCCAGGCATCCCGCGCTTTCCTGACATTCGCGCAGCAGCGGAGAGCTTTGCTACCCAGAGCAGGGAGGCGTGGCCACAGAGGCGCAGTCGAGCGGAGGAAGAGGAAAGTGGCCTCCGGGAAAGCCAGAGCTGACTGAAGGTAACCGAGAAGCTGATTTTCTCTTTAGATTTGACTGGCGATCCCCTGAGAAATACCGGCCGCTCCTGCCAGTTGCAGCCTTTGGGGCTGCTGTGTAGCGAGGAATGGGGGTGGGGGACGTGATACAGTATTTTTCAGTAGGCAGTGGCGCCACTGACAGGCGGCAGATCGGCTGGAGAGCTGGTGGGACTTGTCCACAGCGAGGCCGCCTGACCGCGGGCTCCTACAGCCACTTCTTACCTACGGAAGCAACTTCTTTCTACCGGATGTACAAATATAACCCAGGGATGCTAGTGAATCACACTCAAAGGCTGCCCACGTTCAGAGTTCTTGTGGGCAACCCTGTGGTTGATCTAGAAGTTGTAGTGAATCAGGGATGGGGATTTGGGGCAGTAATGTCTACCACCACACCCAGCGAAACTTCCTGATTTTTGATGGCTTATGAACATAACACTAAAGAAAGAGTCATTTCAACATTAAAGACGATGGCTTCTGCTGACATACACACACACACACACACACACACACACACACACACACACACACACGAAGTGTTCCTGTACCTCCTGAGCCTGAATGGTCAGCAAGGAGCCAATCATTATTTTGAATACCTGTGGCATCCTTGAAAGAATTTTGTTGCTATTTCTGCTGGATCACCTCGGGAAAATCAGTTTTGAGGACATGTTAAGTCAGGAGAAAGGTTACCATTACTAGGACCCTTCCCGTCTATGAAGAACCTTAATCATCACCATCTCTCTTTCGTTTTTGTTTTTAACCACCTGACATTTGTATATGTGTAAAGGAAGGCCATCTGTAAAGTTTTCCAGTTAAAGTAAACAAAAGATTTAATACACAAGTACAAACCTGTGCAGTGCCCTTTATAAGTCTTTCAAAGGAGTACTACACCTTGCCACATCAAATGTTGATGATCTGCTTGCTTAGCGGGGGGACATTTGCTTACTTTTTCTCTAGTTACTTCTACTCTGATCTTGCTGTCTCAGTTCTCCTACCAGCATTGATACAGTATAAAAGGGAATATTAAGAGTTCCATTTAGTAAAGTCTTCAGTCTAAGTGAGATGAAGGGGTATAGAAACTATTTTTCCTCTGACTAAAGAAAAATGATTGGGATGATCTGTTAAAGTTTCGAGAAACTCAAATAGGCCCTATTTGCCAATATAGGACAGGAAACCCACAGATTAAGTATTGGATAATCTCAAAGTTCATTTTGGCCAATTGGTGCCAGTTTTCTCACCCACCAATCTTTCCTCAACTGTTAAAAAAAAAAAAAAAACAGGAAATACATTGATTGATTGGCATTTGTCTTCTCTTAGCTATGCTTTGTTTCAAAGTTGAAAAACAAAGAAAAGGAGAGAAACTTACCTTCTGAGTAATCTAACATCATGAATGTTCCAATTCTTGACAGTTGATTTTAGAGGAGAAGCCAGACAGGAACTTCTCTCTTCATTTTCCTCTTACAATAAATAGCAAGTAAATATGTGTCATGTGGTTTTCTTCTTGACATGTACTTTTCTTCTGCTCTCCCTCAGTGCTCTTGGGAAGAACAATTCATTGATTTGGTACCAAACCTGATGCACCCTCATTTGTCAAAGGTGGTACCAGGTGGGTGTCAGTGTCACACACAAGAGTAAAACTGTTCCTAGAGCAAATGACGATGAGAGAGCTGAAGGCGGATTCATGCTCAAACCCCCAGATGGGGGCTATGTGGGAGACTAGTGGGTCTGTGAATGAGAACTTCAGTCAGAGTAAGAAATACAGCGCAAAAATAGAGAGTCTTGGTCCTGAGAGCGCTTGCAGGCACTTCTGGAGCTTCCGTTATCATGAAGCAACTGGACCGCTTGAGACCATCAGCCAACTTCAGAAATTATGCCATCAGTGGCTGAGGCCAGAGATCCACTCAAAAGAGCAGATCTTGGAAATGCTGGTGTTAGAGCAGTTCCTGAGCATTCTGCCCAAGGAGACCCAGAACTGGGTGCAGAAGCATCATCCACAGAATGTCAAACAGGCTCTGGTCCTGGTGGAATTCTTGCAGAGGGAGCCTGATGGAACAAAGAATGAGGTAAGAAGAAAGATTCCCTACATGTACAATGAAGTAGGATAAAAGTGAATATATCAGAATGGAAGAGTTATCAGAGAACTAGATTAAGTTCCTCTTCTGTTGCTCATTTAGGACAGCTAGCAAGGATCTAAAATGACATACATGCAGCAATAGTCAGTCCACAGGTTTCAAAATTCCTAGCACAACCTTTCCTGGTCTTAGAGGAAATAAATGCATTTTGTCTTCTCTAGGGCCAGGGTGAGTTGATGGTGGTGGGCCTAGTCTGGCATGGGCAAGGAGAAAAGAGTTGAGTTCTTAGAAACAGAGAAATAAAGGGCAAGAAAGAGTTGGGAAAGGGGAGAAGATCCACAAGATAGGCAGCACTTACAGAGACCAAAGGAGAGAGAGGTTACCAAACAGAAGTATGAATCAAGCGGCTCTGGGGAGACTGCAAAGAAAGAGAACAAAATGGAAAGAAAAAAAGGAAACAAGGATATGGAAAGAAGACAATTGCCAAGAGAGAAGTGGAGGGAATCAGGATGCTGAGGGGTAGTATCTTCTGTAGCAGGAACACACATCTCTGGGCTGGGAGGAAAGAACCTGCATTGCCCTCACTTAGTGGCTTGTCATTGGCCCTGCTGGTGAGAGGGAAACCAAGGTTTGTCCTTGGAAGATGGCAGCACACTTCCTTTTTTCAGGAGCCTACCTTGAAAAATCCAGGGCAGGGCATATTTTTGGTGTCTTATTACTACCAAATCATGTGAAGAGAGATTGGAGCCCAACTCTTCCCCCCATTTATTCTTCCATCCATCTTCATTCCCTGTGAAATTCTTTCCTGGATGATTGGAAACTGGCTAACAGGAAAGCTTTTTTTACTCAATTCCTTTTCTTTTACAGAAAACCAAAAGATAAAAATTCACTAAAACAAGGATCCAAGTCAAGAAAGCAAACCAGTGAAAGTTACCCAACAGGGGAACAGGCTGCCCACCCAACTTTGCTAGTGGCTGGAGCCAGGGCTCTGTGCATCGGGGTGGGGGCCACTGGGTTGAGGGGTGGGGATCTGCAGTAGTCACAGCTTTTTCTATTTTATCCTAATTATCCCAGATTTTGAGTATAGTTCTTTATGAGAACATAGTGGCACTCTTCATTCTTTTTATTACTTCTCTAATGTCATGCACTCCCCAAATCTGGGCTCTGCTCTTGTTCCTCCCTCCACTACCACCCCAAAACCAAAAGTAAGTTCTGTGCTAATGAGGATGGGGATTATTTCTAGGTCACAGCCCATGAGCTGGGAAAGGAGGCAGTGCTCTTGGGAGGAACAGCAGTGGCCCCAGGCTTCAAGTGGAAGCCAGCAGAGCCCCAACCAATGGGTGTGTTCCAGAAAGAATATTGGAATACATACCGGGTACTACAAGAACAGCTGGGCTGGAACACTCACAAAGAAACCCAGCCTGTATATGAAAGAGGTGAGGAGCTTCATCATAATTGTCTTCTCCTGGGAGCTGTGATGGTAATTAGTTCACCTAGAATGCCATGGGAATTTTCCAGGCGGCCAGCCATGCTAGCAGCTATAATATCTCCCACGTGGGAGTATAGTGGATCGATGGTGGTTGAAGGTGGGGGTCAGCCTGGGGGACAGAAATATCCAAACCACAGAACCCTGCTATTCACACTGTAGACTCTACTCCTTTGAAACTTGAGAGGAGAAGATGGAACAGGGACAGGTGGGGCCACCTCCCCCTCACAAGTTGTAGGAAAAATTGGGGTCAGACATGGGCTATCAGTGGCAGAATGTGATGAAAATTGTGCACTAGGGAAAAATAATAAAAAACAAAAGTCTCTCACATTATCTACTGTACGCTGGAGGACCTGAGCCCTTCATTTTCAAACCTTCAATTCTTGCCCAGCTAATGTTATGAGAGGAAAAATGAATAAATTTCCTTTGATTAATTTCTTTTGTGAAATCTAAAGAATTCATGAACTGGGGAACAGGTTGTATGAGTGGTAGATATTTGGTTCTTATTTACAATGAGATGGCCACTTCTTGGCACCACACACACACTTGTCAATGTGACCCATCTTTACTGAGGGCATCCTGATGTTCTGTATTTTAGAAATCAGCTCAGGATGTTTGTAAATAGGAAAGAGAAATTTTCCCTGACTATTTTCTACACACAGCTGTGCATGATCAACAGATGTTAGCCCTTTCTGAGCAGAAAAGAACCAAAGACTGAAAGATGGCATCTAAACTCATCCTGCCTGAGTCCCCGGTGAGCTGTTATTTCTGGCTTTTTTCAGGTGACTTGACCGTGGCCTTGTCTCTGCTTGTCCCTACTGCCTAGGACTCATAGTGTCCAGCAGGTGCTTTGAGACATTTTAGCCCCAGTTATTCTCTAGGCAACTAGGCTTGGCACAGTGGGAATTGGGCACCTCCCAGGTGATTTACTGATCCTCTTTGCTCCTTCCTTTCTGCCTTCTCACTCTTTTACTCTAAATCTTGTACTGTTAACATCTTCAGCACCTGGCCTACCATGTAATTCAGAAATGGGTGGTAGGACAGCTTCTGAAGTGGCAAGTACTAAACTATAGCCCATTCTCTTCTTTAGAGTTTGTTGACATTTGAAGATGTGGCTGTGTATTTTTCTGAGGAAGAATGGCAATTATTGGATCCTCCTGAGAAGACTCTCTACAATGATGTAATGCAGGATATCTATGAGACTGTCATCTCTCTAGGTAAAGATTCTTCCTTCCCTTTGTGTAGAAGTTAAGTAATATGTTATGTCCTCTGTTTATGGAAAATGCACCCCTGTGAGAGAGTCCCAGTGTTCCAACAGCTGATTGATTTTCAACTTGATGATGTGTGGGAAATAAATGGATTATTAGGATCCCCTCGAGAGCTTTTTATAAATACATGTCACACTTCCGCATTCTAAGTAGAATTATTTTGTTTTGACTGTGGAAGATTTTAGCTTTTTTTTTTTTAATTTTCATCCAAACACACCCTTTTCTTTCTTTTTTTTTTTTTTTTTTTTTTTTTGAGATGGAGTCTCGCTCTGTCGCCCGGGCTGGAGTGCAGTGGCGCGATCTTGGCTCACTGCAAGCTCCACCTCCCGGGTTCACGCCATTCTCCCGCCTCAGCCTCCAAGTAGCTGGGACTACAGGCGCCCGCCACCACGCCCGGCTAGTTTTTTGTATTTTTAGTAGAGACGGGGTTTCACCATGTTAGCCAGGATGGTCTCGATCTCCTGACCTCGTGATCCACCCGCCTCGGCCTCCCAAAGTGCTGGGATTACAGGCTTGAGCCACCGCGCCCAGCCTAAACACACCCTTTTCTAAAAAACATAAAAGCATGCACATCAATGGCATTATTCTACAAAAAATTAATAACTAATCTCTAAATCAACAACAATAACAATACAAACAAAAATTTAAATGATATGTGGAAAGATTTACAGGTAGGCATATGGCTCTTAGTTTAGAAAATAATAATTCAAGTCAATATCAATAAAAGTTAAGGAAAAGTTTCTAATTTCCAAACATTTTGATATAATTATTTTTCCAACTACAATATTTTATAGACCTTTTGTGAGAAGAATATTAGTGTAATCCTAAAAAAGATAACATTCAAGTGATCCTGTGCAGGTCAGGTTGCCTTGTTAAAATGAGTTAGAATTCACATAATTCCAATAGTATTATTGCCTCTTGAAATTCAAATGTAGAGCATATCCATCATATTCAAAATGAGTTCCACAACTTACATTTATTTTGATCTAGTTAGAAATAAACCCTAAATTTAGGACTGGTAAAAAATATATTTAACAAAGACATGGGATTGATCTAAATTTTACTTTACAGGTAAGAGAAAATTACAATTCAGTATGAGGACACTTCGTAAGTTTTACCAATGCCCCCATTTATAATTAGGCCAACTGTATCTTGAGTGTATATGAATGTGTGAATAAATACATACCAACATATACAAACCAATTCACACCATACGACTCTTCAAAGATGTTGCTTGAAATGGCTTATTCTCTGGTTTGGGATAAGTGGTGTAACATAATCACTTAATTTTCTCTTAATCATTTTTCCCTTTTGTTTATAACGATTCACTTAGTATGTTTCATGTGGGTCATTAATATATTTTTGCAACAAAAATCCAGTAGCAGTAGACAGAAATGTTAACTTAAAGGACTACTGGGCAATCAAAGTTTAAATTATCGCATGAAAGTAGAGCAGATCACACGTAAAGTCTTCTGCCATGGGATATATTGTTCCATGACTGAAAATTGTGATTTGGTTCCTAGAACATAGCTCTTGCTCTAAGGTGATACATATCAATGTGTAGCTCCAGTCCTTATGAATTAAGTCTGTATTTTACTGGTTTGAGAAGGTGAATTTCTCTGTATGTGTGTGTGTGTGTGTGTGTGTGTGTGTGTGTGTGTGTCAGAGTCTCACTCTATCACCCAGGCTGGAGTGCAGTGATGCAATCTTGGCTCACTCCTACCTCCACCTCTTAGGCTCGAGCAATTTTCCTGCCTCAGCATCCTGAGTAGCTGGGACTACAGGTGTGTGCCACCACGTCTGGCTAATTTTTGTATTTTTATTAGAGACATGGTTTCACCATGTTGGCTTGGCTGGTCTCGAACTCCTGACCTCAAGTGATCGCCTGCCTTAGCCTCCCAAAGTGCTGGGATTACAGGCATGAGCCACTGCGCCTGGCCTGAGAAGGTGAATTTCTTGCTACAGACAAATGCAAAATGCCTCTGCAATAGTGGGTGAAGCCCACTCTCAAGGGCTTAAAGAGTTCAACTTTGAAACAGGGCAGCATGGGCTGCCTCTGCATTTCTTCATAGCAAGTCTATATGCAAGCCACTGAGCAGCACCACTGATGGGAATCCAAAGGAAAACGGCTATAGCACAGTGGAAATCCACCATGGTAACATAAAGTGATTTCTCAATTAAATATTTTGCTATATCAAAGAGAAGTAGGCAAAGGCACATGGTAGTAAATCTAGTCAGAATGTCTACAGGTCCCCATTACCTCAAATATCAGTGAACTCAGGGACCAACCAAGGTTTACACTGATTATTTTGATATAAAAGATAAAACCAGAAAACTTTAATGTTTTCAAGCATTTATGGCACAGACATAGGGAAGTACAAATATTATAGCTTGTATCTTCAAAAAGCTGGGCAATTCATGCTGCTAAAGTGAATCAGTCACAATTTTAACTTCATTCTTATATTTGATACATTTTTGTGTGTAGAGTACAGGGTGTGCAAATTAAGCAATTTCAATAAATATTAGAAATGTCAATTATTTTGCAAATATAAAGTGAGTGAAATCAGCTAATAATGCAATCCAATAAAACGTGTTAAACAGAGCTTTTTCCCCATGAATACTTTTTACTCTTTCCTTTGAACATCTGGATACTTAAATACATTTTCTTTTATTGGCTTGCAGAAATTAAGCAAAAAGTGAACTATTACCTAGCTACAAGATAATAAATAGTAATAAGAGTTTGGAGCTGTCCAGTTGTAATAAATAGAAAATTACAAATATAGTGAAATATGCTGCAAGTTAATGCTCAAAAATGTAGCCATCTGAACTACAAAATACACAATCCTACTAGTCTTCTGAAGTTGTCATTAGTTCATGGAAAACGTAAAGAAGAGCAGAAACTCCATTTAGCTTTTACCTTTCCAGCAGCTCCAGTGCTAAAGTTATATAATCATGTATGTTTGCCCAAGACGAACTGCACATTGGTGTTAGTCACATATTCTATTTTATCCAGAGTTCAATCAACAAGGCTTTATTTGCACTTCTTTTTACATTCAGGAAACAATAAGCCTACCCAGGCAGGCTTCTGTTGATAATTACCTTCTTCTGTTGGGTGTGGGGATATAAGCCACCCTGCTATGTTATTTTTCTTGTTGTGGGGTCCCAAACCAGTTTGTCTTTTTCTTAACATTTTAAGAATTTTCTTTTAGTTATCTCATATTACTTAGTGGGTTTATTGTTGTGCCTATCAGGGAGGATCAAGGAGAAATGGGTCTATGCCATTTTGTCCAGACTGGACCAGAAATCACTTGTTCCTGTATTTCTTTTAAAGCAATCATCATTGACTTTTCTCTCCATTTATGTAGCTTTCTTGCACTGGGACACAGATGGCTGATTGTTCTGTTTATTCTGACAGGGTTAAAGCTAAAAAATGACACTGGAAATGATCATCCTATATCTGTTTCTACATCAGAAATACAAACATCAGGATGCAAAGTATCAAAAAAGACCAGAATGAAAATTGCCCAGAAAACAATGGGCAGGGAAAATCCTGGTGATACACACAGTGTACAGAAATGGCATCGAGCTTTTCCAAGGAAGAAAAGAAAGAAACTTGCAACTTGTAAACAAGAGTTTCCAAAACTTATGGATCTTCATGGGAAAGGCCCCACAGGGGAGAAACCTTTTAAATGTCAGGAATGTGGGAAAAGCTTCAGAGTTAGCTCTGATCTTATTAAACACCAGAGAATTCACACTGGAGAGAAACCCTATAAATGTCAACAATGTGACAAGAGGTTTAGATGGAGTTCAGATCTTAATAAGCACTTCATGACCCATCAAGGAATAAAACCATATAGATGCTCATGGTGTGGGAAAAGCTTTAGTCATAACACAAATCTACACACACACCAAAGAATTCACACAGGAGAGAAGCCCTTTAAATGTGGTGAATGTGGAAAAAGATTCATTCAGAACTCCCACCTTATTAAACACCAGAGAACTCACACAGGTGAGCAGCCTTATACATGTAGCATATGCAAGAGAAACTTTAGTAGGCGATCAAGCCTTCTTAGACACCAGAAACTCCACAGAAGAAAGGAAGCATGTCTACTGTCTTCAAACTGAGGAAAATTACCATGTAGACCTTGACTTTAGAAGTGATGGAATAATACAAAATTATGAGGCACCCAATGATAGGAATCTGTCATTAATAGAACATTTGGGAAGGGTACATGTTACACTTCACAAAAAGGAATCTAAGCTGATTGTCTTATTCAGCATTGCATCTTCTGTGCCTAGCACAAGAGTGATACATAAGGAGTATTTTATAAATAAAAAAATGAAAATGTAGTGATGAAATACCTTTAGCTATCTATCTATATGTATATATCTGGTTATTCAAAACTTCCACACCCCCAGTCATCTAAATTTTTCAAGTATCAAGTGCTCAACAGACATATGATGGTCAAGGCTCTTAGTCTCATTCTTTATTCTTTGTCAAGAGAAATGGAAAGAGTACTTGGGCCCTCTTAAGGGAGCTCAGAGAGAATTACTAAACTAGGGACAATTTCAATAGCTACCATTCTATCTACATGAACAATCGAGGCCAGGACTCAGGGAACTTTACTCTGTAATAGAAAGAGAGGATTCAATGTTTGCCCTGAGAGAATTGTCCCATTCTCATTGCTTCTCTCCTGAGTACCCACTACCACAGTGTCTCTGTCAAGGAATTACAAGTAGCAAGGAAAGGTCTGAATGTAAGGACAGACCTAGGGACCTTGCAAGCACTTGATATCTCTCCTCTTGCTGACTGTTTCAACATAGACATACAATGAAATGATGAGGGAGGCAGTCTCGGCCCTCATCCAGGTATCTGTTTTGTTTTGTTTTGTTTTTGTAGAAAGCACAGATAAGTGGTGAATGGTCTTTTTCTGACTTTCATTATTATGTGGACTGTGTGGAGGCTTTCAAACTGGTGCCATACTGCTGCAGGACCTAAAGGGAGCCCCATCTTTATGGCTGATCAAGTACAACCCTATATGCCTGAATACTCTGCAAGAAGGCCTGGAGATTTTGCAAAACTGATTTATTGAGAATGGCAAGGAGAACCTTGTGAACTTTTAGCTTTGGTGCACAGCTGATACCAGGAGGGAACATCCTGAAGTGTCAGAGCAAAGTAAGGCATATGGCTTAGAGTGATGACCCCAGTCAGAACCAGGCCAGATGGAAATTGCTTTCTGATGTTACTGGTCTTCTTTTCCCTATTAGCCAAAGTGACTATCTCTTAAGAGAAGATAATGTGACGTCAAGGGAAGTTGGAAGTCATGGATTTATATCTATGTCAGATCCTGGTTTATAATGTTGGCCAAGGCTTATTTATATATGTTTATTTAGTATTCCATAAAATTGTACTTTGTAATGAAAATGACATGTTTTATGTTAAATTTAGACAATAAAGAAAACTTTGTCACCAAATCACTCAGAAATGGCCAATATTTGCTTTTTTGAAATGGACGTCTTCAGATATTTTTTCCACCAGGAGACCGTTCTAAGCCTGTTTCCAAATGTATAAAATGAGGATTATAATTCCTACTTCTTAGGGCTACTGTGAGGATTAAATGCGCACATGTGAGCATGCCTGACACAATGATTGGCCACAGTCGGTGTTTCCTAAACATTTGGAACTTTCCTCATTCTTCCTTCAGCTAGTTATTTAGAAAAGAAAATAAACTTTGTCTACTTGCCCAGCTTTCAAGCGTTCTTCATTAATGAGTTTTCCATCATTTCTAGCTGGTTTTTTTAGGCCCCCTAATGATGGTCAGAATGGTAGCCTTCTGACATGACATTCATTCTGTTCTAGAGGTGCTCCTCTCTAGTCAGCCTGAAACAATACACTGATGTCCCAGTTCAGCTAGGTATACTGTTCATGAGTAACAAAACCAAAATATACTACAAACCCTCAACTTGAGATTCCTGAAAATGGAGGGGAGGTGATGGCTAGGGGTGGAATTTTTGTGGACAGTATTTATGCTATTAGGTGCATCCTCAAGCCAATAAAGTGGAAATGAAAGAGGAAAGGGGTGACCTCATATAATGGCCTCTATAAAGAATGAAAGTGCTAAGCCAAAAGGAGGAAGTGACCTGGGAGGAAAGGATCTCATTATATTCCTAAAGGCTTGGAGACTGTGACTGCCTCATCACTCCCCGAACCCAGAATGATCTCAGATTGTGCTTTGAAACTAAAAGGGGAAATTCAACTTCTTGCAGGGGACTCCATTCTCTTTGTGTGAATTCATGTTTGCTAGCATCCTGGATAGCTGCTATCATACCACCATTCAAATAAATTTATTCATGTGGCTTTTATAAATAAGTTTATAAAGAATTTTTATAAACTCAAAAATTCAAGGATGTACTAGATCAATGGACCCAGCAGTTATACTCACGAGAATCAGCAAAGTCCCCCAGAACAAGTCAGCAAAAGAGCACTCCACTTTCCCAAAGCTGCTTACCCCTGTTATAATGCCTGTTACCTTCAAAGCTTATCGTGCAGGTCCTCATCTACACTGGCATCATTATCAGCAGGGTTTGAGAGAAGGGAACATGGGTTCTATTTGAGAGATCAATTATTTAAGGCAAGTGGCAGGAAGTGACTGCCTTTAGATGGGTCTGAGCAGAAACAGAGAATTGAGATTTGTTATTCCAAGTTCAGATACTCCACCATCATTTGAATACAAGGGCTCCAGGAAAAAGCACATTCTTATCCCTGAGGCTGTGGAACAGGACCTAGAAATCAGGGCTCCTGGCTGACTCATTAGTGCCCAGTCTGCCTTTTCAGCCCTCTGACAGTCTCCTAGGGCCACATTCCCCATGCATCCTGACTACTCATGTCATCCCTTGCCAACTCAGAAAAAGAGGAGAAACGTGTGTCCATGGAGACATGGGAAGTAAGGAAATAAATGGCAGAATGAGATAAAGGGAAGAGATGTCGTTCTATTGCATAACTGCCCACCATCTTCTCAGCACATGGCTAATAGACAGGAGCTCCATTGCCTTTCTGAGGACACAAGAGAAAGACAGCATACAAAAGCTCAGGAACTGAAGAGATGGACAGATTATTCATTCATGGGATAGAGTGAAGAGGCAGAATGCTCCAACTCTTGATCCCACAGGCAGAGATGGAACTGAAGACCTGAGCCAAGTGTGAGGGGGTGTGAACTCGTTTTCCAGTCTCTGTGCTCCCAGAGAAGATGAGCTGAGCAGAAAAAGATAAGAAAGGGTCTGGGAGAGCAGAGGACAGCAGGCTTTTTCCACTTGTATGCATTTGTGAGGACTGAGATTGGAAGTCAGGGACTCAGGGAGTAGAATGCCATTGCTTGCTGTGGATGAGACACAAGAGCTTGTGAGTGGGGCAAGCCTACCCTATGACAGACTCAGGTCTCCACTTTTTCCCTCCCAGCAAACAATGACATGGCTTCTACCCATGGGCCTTTTTGGGTTCCTTCTAGCTCCTTCTCCACTCCCAAGAAACCTCTTCCTCCTTCATTGCCTTGTTCCGTCTGCCACAGGCCAATCCTGCTCCTGCCACTTTGCCACTTCCATTGTTTCAGGGAAGGAGAGGAGGGGCCCAAAGACAGGGTGTAGTGAGTGTTATTGTGTTCCACTGTTCCCAGAGGAATGGGCACAATAACTGAGAGTGGAAAGGCAGAGTTAGGGAGAGAAGAATAAACAAAACGGAATCATGGCCTAGTCTTTTGTCAAGTAATTTAAAGGCTCTCCTTGCTACCTCCCCTTTAATCCTTGAAAAAAACTAAATGGCAGGTAGGTGGGCATGGTGATGACCATGTTGGGGAGGAAGCTGTTCCTCATTTAAAGGAGGGGGTCACCTACAAACTTCTGTTCTTGGCTCAACAGCGAAGCCCTCCCATTCTCATTCTTGTTTTCTTTGCCTTCCTCTTCTCCCTCCATGCTGCCTGATCCTTCCTACCATTGTGGGTTCAAACATGGGACACTGGTGGGGAAGAAGGGACAGGGAGCCAGGGAAACTCTCAAGGACCAGCAATCATGAGATATAAAGGGAGAGGTCAGGAGCCATGTTTGAGGGCAGCAGAGGGACAATATCACTCTTAGATCTGGACAACCAGGGAAAGAAGGGAGGGAAGGAGGCCAGGTCAGCTTTGAGAAGCAGTTCTGCTCCAGGGCTGGGAGTTAGGGAGGAAGTAGGGAGGAGGACCTGTGCAATGCCAAGAAAGATTTTCCTTGTCCCTCTTTAGGCTCTGTGTATCTCAGTGTGAGACTTGGGATGATTAGTTGACCATAAATGTATGATTTTGGTGACTGGCAAGATGGCCGAATAGGAACAGCTCTGATCTGCAGCTTCCAGTGAGATCAATGCAGAAGACGGGTGATTTCTGCATTTCCAACTGAGGTACCCAGCTTATCTCATTGGGACTGGTTAGACAGTGGGTGCAGCTCACAGAGGGTGAGCAGAAGCAAGATGAGGTGTCACCTTACCTGGGAAGTGCAAGGGGTTGGGAGAACTCCCTCCCCTAGCCACGGGAAGCCCTGAGGGACTGTGCCTTGAGGGATGGTGCATTCTGGCCCAGATACTACACTTTTCCCACAGTCTTCACAACCCACAGACCAGGAGATTCCCTAGGGTGCCTACGTGACCAGGGCCCTAGGTTTCAACCACAAAACTGGGCAATTGTTTGGGCAGACACCGAGCTAGCTGCAGGAGTTTTTGTTATAACCCAGTGGTACCTAGAAAGCCAGTAAGACAGAACTTTTCACTCCCTGGAAAGGGGCTGAAGCCAGGGAACCAAGTGGACTAGCTCAGTGGATCCAACCCCCATGGAACCCAGCAAGCTAAGATCCACAGGTTTTAAATTCTTGCTGCCAGCACAGCAGTCTGAAGTCGACCTGGTATGCTTGAGCTTGGTGGGGGGAGGGGCATCCACCATTATTAAGGCTTGAGTAGGCGGTTTTCCCCTCACAGTGTAAACAAAGCCACCAGGAAGTTAAAACTCCGTGGAGCCCACCACAGCTCAACAAAGCCACTGTAGCCAGACTGCCTCTCTAGATTCCTCCTCTCTGGGCAGGACATCTCTGTAAGAAAGGCAGCAGCCCCAGTCAGGGGCTTATAGATGAAACTCCCAACTGCCTGGGACAGAGCACCTGGGGGAAGGGGCAGCTGTGGGCGCAGCTTCAGCAGACTTAAACATTCCTGCCTACCGTCTCTGAAGGAGTAACAAATCTCACAGCACAGCGCTCGAGCTCTGCTAAGGGACAGACTGCTTCTCAAGTGGGTCCCTGATCCCCGTGCCTCATGACTGGGAGACACCTCCCAGCAGGGGTGGACAGACACCTCATAAAGGAAAGCTCCAGCTGGCATCTGGCAGGTGCCCCTCTGGGACGAAGCTTCCAGAGGAAAGAACAGGCAGCAGTCTTTGCTGTTCTGCAGCCTCTGCTGGTGATACACAGGCAGACGAGGTCTGGAGTGGACCACCAGCAAACTCCAGCAGACCTGCAGCAGAGAGGCCTGACTGTTAGAAGGAAAACTAACAAACAGAAAGGAATAGTATCAACATCAACAAAAAGGACGTCTACACAAAAAGCCCATCTGAAGATCACCAACATCAAAGACCAAAGGAAGATAAATCCACGAAGATGAGGAAAAAACAGCACAAAAAGGCTGAAAATTCCAAAAACCATAATGCCTCTTTTCCTCCAAAGGATCACGACTCCTCGGCAGCAAGAGAACAAAACTGGACAGAGAATGAATTTGACAAATTGACAGAAGTAGACTTCAGAAGGTGGGTAATAACAAACACCTCTGAGCTAAAGGAGCATGTTCTAACCCAATGCAAGGAAGCTAAGAACATTGCAAAAAAGTGCGAGAAATTGCAAACTAGAATGACCAGTTTAGAGAAGAACACAAATGACCCGAAGGAGCTGAAAAACACAGCACAAGAACTTCATGAAGCATACACAAGTATCAATAGCTAAATCGATCAAGTGGAAGAAAGGATATCAGAGATTGAAGATCAATTTAATGAAATAAAGCATGAAGACAAGATTAGAGAAAAGATAATGAAAAGGAACAAAGCCTCCAAGAAATATGGGACTATATGAAAAGACCAAACCTACATTTCACTGGTGTACCTGAAAGTGACCAGGAGAATGGAAGCAAGTTGGTAAACACTCTTCAGGATATTATCTAGGAGAACTTCCCCAACCTTGCAAGACAGGCCAACATTCAAATTCAGGAAATACAGAGAACACCACAAAGATACTCCTTGAGAAGAGCAACCCCAAGACACATAATCGTCAGATTCACCAAGGCTGAAATGAAGGAAAAAATGTTAAGGGCAGCCAGAGAGAAAGGTCAGATTACCTACAAAGGGAAGCTCATCAGACTAACAGTGGATCTCTTAAAAGAATTTTCAACCCAGAATTTCATATCCAAACAAACCAAGCTTAATA